GGGGGGGGGGGGGGGGGGCCTGCAAATTAGTCGAACTTGAGGGTGTATCCTATAAAACAATAATTCAGGGCGACTGTGACATCAATCTGTGTCGTGGATTGTATTAACTGGCATTAAATCACATAACTGTATAAACCACGCATGTTTTTAATTTGTTTTGTTTCCTTGAAATCATGTAAAGCGTAAGGTTCATTGTTCCCTGAGTGTATGGTGGCGTATGTAATTAGTATCTCGAAAAAAGAAAGCCATGATGCTATCTTGAAAAGAAGCCCATGGGTTTCTTTTCCAGATAAGCTCTTTTTTCGAGGCTACTTTTGCAAACTAAAGAAGGGGAGGAGGAGGGGAGGCTTCAATTCGAGATGGGATTCTTCTCAAGATTAAGCCCATTGGGCTTATTCGAGGTTTCAGGTTTACAGTTGTTTTAATATAACTTATTGAATATATATTTTATTACAATATTCTGCCAAGTGTTACATAATTATTATTTATTAATTAATAATTATTTTCTTAATTGTATGATCATGTATTTTATATAGGGCATTTCCTTATTATTTTTTAATTTTTTATTTTCTGTCTAATTTTATATAAACAGTAATTTAATCAATTTGCCTATGTTTATTCAATTTGTAATATTGCTAACTTAATTAATTCCTCATATATTGAATTGTATACTATTAATTAATTGCTTTGCCAAATTTGTACAGTACATTCAAATGAATTTTATATGTGAATGAATAAAATATATCCGACCAATGAATTATGCAATGTCCTCCCACTTGTATATTTTAACTTTACTGCTGTATATTGTTAATTCTTCGTATTCTGGTGATGTACCGTATTTTAAACATTTTTAATATTATTACTTAAAAGTATCATATTAATTTTGGCTTAAATTTGCAAAAGTCGTATTGTATCTTCCTGTCTTTCTTTTCATCAATTTGTATCAATTTTAAAAATTGCCCTTTAAATTGTGTTAATTTTCAGTCTCTTGTGATTTTCATATTACTAAATTAAATATGAACATGCGTTTATTTATAGGCCTGTATTTAATATTTTTTACAGAATCTTATATTGCATGATTTATAGTGGGCAGTGCATGGAGAGGTAATAATGTATCGATTTTCCATGATGACCACCCGTCTCCACAATTGATCGACGAAACATCAATCACATCACAAAAAAAGTTCAATTGTCGGCGAAATATCTGCCGGCGAATTGGCTGTTAGACAAAACGTCTATTCGGCGAAACGTCCTGTCAGCGAAATTCGCGGTGTCGGCGATTTTCGGTGTTGGTGAATGTTCTTTCGTCCACTGTATTACGACAGTCCACCAAAAACGACGTTCGTCGGCAATCTGGTTCGGCGAAATGTCCTAGTACCAAATTTTAAAGTTTTTGTCGTGTGCCCATAGCCTATATGATGATATCATAATATACCCTAAATGTGGGCATATCACTTTTTTGCCATGTCACATCGAGCCCCACCCCACCAGTGGCCTAATACACCTAGGCCTATATATGTCGCCCTGCTTCTTATCATTAAATGGCAATTGACCTCCTCCTACACTGGTCGATATGTGTCCCAAGACAAACACCAAAAATAAAAAATAATTTTTGAAATTAACTTGCTCATTTTGATGTAGGCCGAACACTAACAAATATCAAAAGAAAATAAACATAGAAATAGTGTAATAGACAGCGAAAAATGATGTATTCAGTCACTGGAAGTGTTTTATATTTTTAAAATATCCAGTAAAAAGTGCATTTTTTAAAATCCAATACCTATTTCCAAGTTTAATAGGCCTAGGTTCTGCAAAAGGAGCAAATTAATTTTTAGCTCTGTAAAATGACGTACAGGTAAAATTAAATGAAAAGTGAATATACTCAGACCAGGGAGTTGTTATTTAGATAACAGGGAATTGTTATCTAAATAACAACTTCCTGCTCAGACTGTAATGAGCTTGCTGCTGAAGAGCTGAGGTCACTGCAATGACCTAATGCTGCTCCACGCATCTTATCTTGTTGTTGATTGGCTAATCTTGCAGAACCACACACATGTTGCCGTGATGACCCAACCAACTGTACCACAAAAGAAGGCTAGGCGTACGTTACGTAAGTAGGTTGCAGTTGAATTCCCACTGAAAACTGAACTTTTATTCGTTATTTATCAGGAGAGTAAGTACAGTAAGTAGGCATACCCTAACTACCTAAGCCCTTTTTTTGAGGGGGGGGGGGGGTTTGTAAAGGGGGGGGGTTTGTAAATTGACAGCCTAACGTTCCCTGCTGTATTGATTGCGATTCCACGTGAATTTTCGTCGCTGACTGAGGCCGGCTGTAGGCTAGGCATAGGTGTAGTAGGCTAGGCTAGCCCTTCCCTCCCTATGCTAGTGGAGTGCCTATGCAAGGTCTCACGGATCACCACAAAATGAGTCTCATGGAATGGTTAGAAAATTATATTTAGGCCTAGGGCCTACTAGGCCTATTTGGGTAGGCCAGGGATTTGTTATTTATTCATGAAACGTGAAGCCTTCGTGGTCTAGTGGTTATGATGCTCGCCTTGTCAGCGAGAGGTCACAAGTTCGAATCCCATCGGAGGAATTTTATTACACAATGGCTTTTATAGGACTTTATTCATTGAAAAGCTACAGGGTAGCTTACGATGTTCCATCATGTCCTTATTTAAACACTGTATATGTACCTTTGACGATTTATATTATATTTATTCAACAGTGTTAACGGCTAACTCCCTTCAATATCATATATAATATACAACAGTATTTCTAGCCGTATTGCCAAATTTATCTGGCCGAACGCCCTCTTGAGGCGTAGCATTGTGTAATACAATGTTCCCAACGGTTATTTGGACCTGTTCAACCATGAAGCCTTCGTGGTCTAGTGGTTATGACGCTCACCTTGTCAGCGAGAGGTCGCA